ATAATGATGGTGCGAAATATGTCTGGGTTTTTAAAGAAAATGCTTTGTCACAGAATAATAGTCTGTTAAAGGTGCCAAGTATGAAATAATTTGGGGACAAAAAAACAAACCTGCATACAAATCGGAATAATAGGTCTTTTGATTATCGGAGACGCATTTCAATGGACTTGATTACGGACAATGCATAACTTAAATTTCACCAGGAAATTCCGCAGTGTGCTCTCGCAATTCGCGTACTTAGTCATTTTTACAAGGTTCGCCATTTTTGATGTCACGTGATAATTATGTAAACAATGTCTGTCCAGTTTGTGCGAACTTGCACCTCTATACTTAGTCTTTTGATATATATAACCAAAATTACTGTTCTGAACGAGACAACAGACAGAGAATGTTTTATTTAAAAACTCACAAAACCTTCTCGCTACCTTAAAATATGTTGTGAATTTGTCTATACTTACTTCGCGGTTGTCTATATTGGTGGTAAACGTGGAGAGCACCAGCCCGACTCATTCCATCTTTAATCACCTCAGAATGCCCATTATATTTATTAACTTTTACAATACTATTATCATGCCAGTTGGTAACATATAGAGATGATTCAAAAATAGTAATTCCATATAAATGTGCAACCTGTGTAGAAACAGATAACATTAATTATTAGGTTATCCTGAATGGCGATGTTTGTAAATAGTGACAACTGGTTTTTTAAAACTATTTTCAAAACTAAACTATTTCTAGTCCATCATGCAGTGATGCACTATAGCACTCTCATTCGGAGGAGCTACTTCCAAATAAAGATTTAGAAAATAAGTAAGTCTAAAATAAAAGATAAGACCTTTGTAATAAATGCAGCCTTCTCGTGACAAAACGATCATAGAGGGAGCAAATTACAACTTTGTTTTTGAAAGAAAAGGGTCGGATTTACAGAAGTCTTAAAATAAAACCCAGAAAACAATGGTTGGGTAAACCAATCATGTTACATGTATGATATACCATCTGTGAACTGTCAGGTTTTAGGGGAAAGAAATAATAAAAGTAAAGAGAGATGACACAAAAGAGGAGAAATTGGTACAAGATGAAAAGATGTCATGGTGTAGAAAGAATGATGAGAGGGGAGAAGAGAGGTGAGAGGAAGCAGGTAATGGAGTGGTTGAACAAGATAAAAAAGAATGAATCAATTCAGGGGCTTGAAGTCACATTCAGTTACATCTGTAGAAAGTACATGTACAAACTATTCCCTACACCATTATTATCATTACCATTAAACCCCCCTAATGCAGCAAAATTTAAATTAAAAAGAAATATACCGGTAATTTAATCATTGTTAATTTAACACACAAACAAAAATAACACATATTTGTTAATTCTGAGAAATATTCCTGGAAACAGAAAGATGTATCATGATTTAAAAGAAATTAGTACTGTACTGTAAACAATTGCAATGACCCTTGAAACACTTGACCCTTGACCTTTCATCTTATACCTACAAATCAATCCAGCAAAACCTATTTTTTATATGCGACAAAACACGCTAAAAACCAAAGGAATTTATCCCACTTCATAGCCAGATTTTGTTGCCTCATATTTTGGCACATATTTGTTTTCTATAATTTTCTTCAAAGGTATTCATTTTTTTAACAAGAACATGCAGACTACAGAAGTAAATTATTCCTTAGGCTGTATTCTCAGAGACCTCTGCAAATGACAAACTGTGAACAAGTTTGTCAATTTGTATTCACATATCACATAGGGTGAACTGTGAACAAGAAACCATCTCTTTGTTTTTGGCAAGTTTATATGGTGCACACACATATGATAACCATATAAGAGACAATGGATATATTGACGACATTTCTAATAACTAAACAAATTTAAGTTTGATATTCAGCCATCATTGAATTCATTCGCCATTGTGCATGCCATATTTGCTCTATTAGTAGCGCATATGTTTATTTAAATGAGATGTAATATTTCAATGACTTATTATTAGCATACAATAAATGCAATTGATGGCTTACATGTGCTTCTAATAAAGATGCGCTTCTAATAGAAAAAAATTCAGTATGTGAATATGTAGAGGATTTGAAGACCTCAGAACCAAATCATGGAAGGTTAAAAAATTTGACAATGATGGTGAAAGGGTGAATATATAACGCAAATCATTTTAGCTAACCGTTTGACCCTGAACTACAGTTCTTCGCTCATTTCCCTCGTATGTCATACATTCGATGTAATCAAGATAGGCATCCACCCAATAGACCTTCTTTTGATCATAGTCAAGGGTAACGCCATGCGGGAAAACAACTTTTGTTGTTACTAATGCAGTCACACCAGTACCATCCATGTTCATTCTAACCACTTTGGGATGAGATCCCCAGTCAGTGTAAAACAGTAGACTGTAAATAAATACAGATATAATTATTAGGTTCACACTTCACAAAATGAAACAGGTTTGATTCTTGTCTCAGTATATCAAATTTATCCCAAATTTTGTAGTCTGGTTACATTCCCATTATTTTGTCAGTCCTTTTGAAAATGCTGTATCAACTGATGGTCGCCACAGGGACAAAAATGTACTGCCTATTTGTGATGATAGAATGAATTTAAGTATATTGTTTAAGACAAATATACAAAAATAAAAAATGTACATAGATTATAAATAAATGTAGGGAGAATTTTAATTATGTTTAAAATATGGCATTTATCCAGGTTTTGTTCAGTCAAATTGACACCTTCTAGGAGTAAGATCAGTCTCATATACAAAATTGTATAATCCACACATAAACCAGTTGAACATTTTGAATCAATTAATAAAACAAAAATTTAAAATTTTGTGAATAATTTTTTGTTGTTGACAAAAATGGCTGTAGTCAGCTCAGTTTTTTCGAAATCTGAAAATAACAAACTATGCATGGCACAGTCCCTGTTAGTTATCAAATTTAAGATATAGTTTTGTTTATAGTAATACAGTTGGAACATAAACATGTCAGGGATATGGATCCAGTACTGAAGCTTGATTATGATGATTTTTTAGCATTAAAATGATTGACATTCAGTCATCTTGTATCTGTATTATCAAACGAGTATTTTATTAAGACATTGCTCAGGAACCGCATTTATAATTAAAACAAAATGGCCACCAGTCAGTCATTTTGAGTATATCTGTATATCTATGACATGATGTATAATGAATCTTTAAAATTTTAACATAATCAGTCAAAGCATGTCAGAGATACATGTACGGCTTTTCTACTGCATTTATTAATAAAAACAAAATGTTCACCGGTCTGAAAAACAAAATGTTCACCAGTCTGAAAAACAAAATGATGTGCATCAATAATGACGAACAAATAATGTCACAAAAATGGCCGCATTTTGGTCATTTTGAAGCAGATCATGAAACAAATTGATGTACAATGTGTAAGTGAAGTTTAAATGTAATCAGTCCAGGCATATCTAAGATATAGGTTCACACACAGAGGTGTGAACTGCCTTGAACAGGATTTAACAACATTCAACCAATTAAGAATTTTTGTTATTTTTCTGAACAAAATTTACCACCAGTTGGTCAAAGGTCAACCAAACGATTTGATTTGCATAAGTATCCCATTTGTACCAACTTTGAACAGGCATGTTTGAGAAATTATGATGGATAAATGAAGGCAACATTTCCAGAATTATATGGGCTGGAAGACCCACAAAGTATCAGGATATACTGTAAAACATGTCTTTTCAGCTAGCATGTCATTTTAGCTAATTTAGCTAATCTGTAATTTTGCTAATTCAAGATGTAGCTAATTTAGAATAAAGTATATTCTCATATGGAGATAGTCGACACTTTAGCTAAATTAAGATTCTGTTAATTCATGCCACGAGTCAAATCTGCTAAAATTGCATGCAGCTATTTCAACATCTTCTACAGTACATGGTGATGTGAAGGTATGTACTTACCCATCGGCAGGGTCTAATGCAATACCACGTGGGTTTACTAAATCTACATCCAGTATGGTAATACACATAGTAGTGTTGGGTTTGCACAAAAATATCCGGTTAGCAACATCATCTACAAAGTATATATTGTCAGTAATCCAATCAATGGCTAGTTGTTCAACATCTGAAAAAGAGAATGAAATTTAGCAATGCAGAAACAAATATTAACAATGCATTTTCCTATTGCATTGGCAAAAGTCACAGCACTACAATAATTGCTCCCTAGGAAAACTTGTTTTTTGTCACATTTGAGCATGTGGATTTTTGAAGAGCCCCAAACTCAACTGTACACATTAACTGCTGAAAAGAAATGCAGGGTCTTTTACCTAAACTTAAAGTTCTACTGACAATCAGACTATCAAAAAACAATTGGACACATGTAGTCCCCAGACTAGTAATACAACAGACTCGCAACGCCTATTGTTTAAGGTGTTAATCGGCTTAATTGTGTGTGCCATGCTCGGTAGCAAAGTTTACCGAACACCAGATATTCTGCACACTTGGGCCTTCCTCGGAAATTGCATATTTCTTCGTAAAACGAATACGGACATTCTTAAAACAACAGGAGATGCATTTTGGACATTTTGACCTTTGCAGCTGTGTGAGAATTTTAAGAATCGACCAACAATTAGGTGAGTTACAAGTAACTGAATGTCTTAGTGTTTACCTCAAATAGTTTTTGAATATAAAATGAGCAACTTTGAAACGATATTTCTCGCTGTTGTGAATTTTGCGGAAGGTTTCCAATATTTTTTTCGGAGAGAGCATATCGCTGCGTTTTGAGAGATCATACCACTCTGTGTGTTACCCATTTTGTTTTCGTATTCGAGGGTACCAAAACATGGGATAGCTAGAGTCATGTACATGATATTTCTCAGCATACAATGTATCAGCGTAATCCGGTTAACGGTAAAAACTGGAGGTGTGTTATTTTTGTTCCGTTCGACTTCATAGTACGCGATCTACATGTTGTTCAGTGACTGTTTCAATGGTCTATTGTGTGTAAGTATTGTTGCTATTTCGAGTTTCACTGATTTTGTTACAGTTTTGTATAAAATAGCCCAGTATATTTCTTTTTATTCTTAATTTAAGGAAATGGAAAACACGAGATCGCTCAGGGATTGCCGATCTAGGACTGCCAAGTTCTTCAGAGAAATTGTCATTATCTTCGTCAAAATGTTCTCCTAAAATAGCTTCCCAGTCGTAATTTTTCTGTAAATGCCATTTTCGAAGTTCACTGACAACTAGTGTCGTCTATGCCACTTCCTGTGTTTGACTCGCGATGCTTGGTTGGTTGTAATATGAATAGATCTCGATTTATTTTGTGAGATCTAATGATAATCTTGTTGCTCCGCAACGTTTACTCGGTACGATAAGAACAGATAACCTAAACAAAGGTGGCACGAATTACTTTCAGTAAGGATTTGAACTCTGAACCAATCTGTCATGATGTGACAACCTAAACTACGAGCGACCATTATCATGGTCAACTTTAATTACTAGTTTTATGTTATGCAGATTATTTCATTAAGTAAACAAATTAAAACTCACTATCAAGGTGGAAAAAAATTGGGATATCCTCCACTGTTGCAGGATCCATGGTAGCACCATTAACACTTTTGAGTTTACTTGCACCAGTCCCCAAGTCATGGTGTACCCAGCAAACCTTCTGCTGGTTGTGGTGAAAATCTAACGCAAGTGCTTGTCTACTTGGTACGTAGTCGCTGATGAAATCAGTTCCATTAAGTAACAGCGTCATGATATTTATAGAGTTTGCAATCACTAACTTGGGTTCTTCCTCTGTAAAGAGATATATTAGCATAAGATGGAATTTCCAACATTTTGGAGAGAAGTAAACACAACAAACACACTAGTATCCCAGAATGCTTTATTCAACATACAACACCAGAATAATTTTCTTTTTATAAATATGTATTCAAATACATCATCATCATTGTTGTGAGAAAGTAGTTTTCTCGTTTTTGTTTTTGACGCTAAAGAGCAACATGTTTTCCGATATATTTTCTCAAGTTACTATACATATATGTTTTCACATTTGACCAAAATCTTTTGTTGCCAGATTCAAATTTTTGGGCAAGATATTCATAATTTTTTTCCATCTAATATCCATGCCATCCAAGAATCTCAATAACTGAGTTTTTTGTTGGATTTATTCCACATTTGTCAAAATTTTCAAAGGTTCAGTCCTGGTAAAGTTTCATCATACAATGTAATATATACATTTGCTTTCTAAGATATTTTAATCATTGACACTATCTCATGCACAATATTATGATCATGTGGCTTCAAGGGAGTTGAGATGAATACAGGATTGTGTTTGGTAAAGTTAGAGTCAGTTGTACATGTGGTGATATACTAATTGATTGGTCAGGAAACACACACAGCAGGGTTTACACAAATAATGTCGCTGGTCATTTCACTTTCCTAAATTTATCACAGTAAATATTTGAATAAATTTCTGAATTAATTTGCGACTATTTATGCATAATTTAAAAAATATTACATATTAATATTGAATTTCTGAGTAAATATGAAACAAAATTTAGTAATAATGACATACACACTAAAATACAAATACATCTATTAAAACAGGAAAGGACAAAAATTACAAAACACAACTTGTACATGAATGTGGTTATTTAGTGATAAAAGGATGAAGGAAAATAGAAAAATCAATCACAAATAGTACACCTCACCTTCCCCTTGAGAAAAGAAGACACAAACATAACACAAGAAAGAGAAACAGCAATTAGAAACAAGACATGACAAAACTGTGCATAGATCAGAAAGTTTCCAATAAAAACAATTTATATTCATATTTATAATCTGATATATTGCAGGCTACATGATTTCCCTACATTTGTTTTTATTGGGAGTGAAATTCACACTTCCAGGAACATTTCTCTTAGTACTGTTTAGGCAGAAGAATCACCTATGATTAGGCTAGTTTTATTTTTTAATTACTTGAAAATTTCAAAGTCAAAAGTAGATTTTTGACAAAATTTGTTAAATATGTGAAAATATGTCCATTTGGTTAAAAATTAAGAACAAAATCATAGAAAAATATAAAAAATGTGTAAAATGTTGCACTAAAGTAATGGTGGGAAAAAATAGTTTGCAAAGGGTGAACAAATCCTTTTTCTAAAGAGTTAAAATTTGTAAGAATTGAATTGTTTTCAAATTTAGAAATGCAGTGACATAAATAAACAATAATTTACAAACATGTGCTAACAAAGACAGTGAACTAAACATTTATCTAAACACTTGTGTTATTTGTCATAAAAGTAGTATTCAAAGTGAGATGAATTTTAAATATTTTGGCACTAGTATAATATGTATCATGTTAATCTGACAACATTCGCACCAAATTTTCACTCAGAAATCGTTTATAGCAAGCCTTATTGTGATCTTGGGAATATTATATGAAATATTGAACAGTTTGCATAAATTACAGATTCACCATCCTTGTAAATGATTACAAATGACAGGTGAACCTCTGTATTGATCCACTCTCATCAACACACTTAAGTGAGTGAGAAAACACACATCAACTCAGAAGCAAATATGACTGGCAACATTCAATGAAAATTCATTGAAAACTGTCAGTATATATTTCCCACAATTTCTACAAGATCAAATCATAAAATATTTCACTTTATAGTCCCAAGATCCAATAGAGATTGATGAATGATCTCAGAATGCAAATATACAGTCACATTACAATATTCTCCTGAACTAAACAATAAGAGAACAGTGCCCTCTAGTGGTGAACACAACTGAATATCGTATTTGCTCAGTTCCAAGTGCATCCCCAATAGAAGCGCACATAAAATTAGATTTTGACACAACTTTGTTGTGTGTAAGGTAAAGTACATACACCAGTAATAAAGAAAATGTGAAGTCACATAACATACTGATTGACATTCACCATCAAACTATTTTTTTAAAGTAAATCCTATCAATTCCTTCGTCCCTGTTGAATAATCCCACAAACAGAAATGATAAAGCACATGGTTAAATGGTTACAGTCATCATACTGTGTGATGTTTGTAAAATGTATATTTATGATTAAACACGCACTGTGTGGTGACTGTGGTGCTTCAACCTTTTCACCACCAGTTCCCTCTTTTCATCACAAAATAGTCCTGTTTACAGTCTGCGCTTTCCTCCAGAAAATTGAAACAAAAAATAGCCAAATTTTTTAGTAAAAACTGAAAATTGACTCAAATTGTGTCTGTTGGCTCCAAAATTAGGGTTCATGTCCAAGAATATTGAAGAATATAAGAAAAAGTTACAGAAAAATGTGGGCGAGAAAGCCTGGTGGTGAGATGGTTAATATTGATACAATTATGATACATACCAACTACAATATCACAATCTTGTCCAACCAGTTGATATCCAGGTGCACAGCTGCATTCATAATTGCCAATATTATTAATACACATCTGTTCACAAACACCGACTATTTCCACACATTCATTGACATCTGAGATAACAATTAAAAACTTGTGAGAAATTCCATTTGAGCATAAAATTACTGAAAATCATGGAAGTGCTTGTAAATACTGTCGTTATCTATCAACCATTGTAATTGATTTATTTTTCCTTTGAAGCACCAAAAATCACTCTAGCTCTTACAAATATACAGCGAATTTCATAAAGGCATGACAGTTATTTTATGAAAATTTATTAAATATAATAAAATGAGAAGACATTTTCATTGGATATATGAGCCAACTGGTAACAGCCATTACCCATGAGTCTTTGAGGGTCCCTTCAATCTTTAAACGATTTACTACCATGTGCCTAGATGGTAATTTATATTGCTAGTATATAACCACTAAAGCATATCAGTACAAATCCCTTACCAACACAGGACTTGCCATCAGGCCCGGCTTTATATCCATTATCACAAAAACAAACTGGTCCCAATGGTCCTATTCTGCAGTGCTTCTCACATCCGGCATTGGCACAGACATTCTCATCCCCTGTAGAAGTGATGACAACATAATTGATTCAAATTTCTTATTAGATTCGTCTTGTCTCCATTGCACAAAAATTATCACATCCACATACATGTAGTTGAGTTATTTGAATTTAAAATTTGATTGAAATATCAACAAATTGATTTCAAACCACTAGTGTGCTTGACCATTCATTTTGTAGACATTGTACAATACCATCCCATAGTTGAGTTAATAGCATTCAAAATTTGATTTAAATATATTTAAACTTGTATCAAATTATTTACTATAGTGTTCTCCTAATTAATGGCTTTCCAATTTTGATTCAAATTTATTTCAAATTACTCACCACAGTGTGCTCCTTTATCAGATTCATCTCGTGGACATTGAATATCATCACAGTTATCATTTGCATTAAAAATTTAATTTATTGGTAAATATATTCGAATTTATATCAATTCACTTAAATGCAGTGTGCTCTTATATAAGATCCAACTTTTGAACAATGTACAATGGCACCACACAGTTGAGGGGATAACAAATTTGATTAAAGTACGGTATATTCAATTTTTGATCCAAATATAGTCAAATTTATATCATGTACTTATTTTAGTGTGCTTCTTTATCAGATCCATCTTTTGGACAATGTACAATATTATCACATACATGTACTAGTAGATGAGTTAATCAAATTCAAAATTTGATTCAAATTTATATCAAAATACTTACTACAGTGTGCTCCTTCATCAGATCCATCTTGTGGACATTGTACAATATTATCACATAGTTGAGTTACCAGTATACATCTTTCAGTTCCCAGACATTGAAAATAATTTGCTGGGCATGTGAATGGTGCTGGAGTGGGACCTAGGAAACAAAACGTCACAAAATTATCAAAAAATTATATAAATGAGTGAAAGCATGCTGTCAACTCTGTTTGCTTATGTAAGCCATTAAAAGATTTCCCAAAATACATTATTTATTTTTGACAAACTGCAGATCAAAACAATAATGCACAAAGACAATCATTTTAGTAAGGGGGGGGGGGATGGGCGGAATGATGCAATCTTCCTGTCACGCATCACAAAAGCATTTCCTTGCTAGTGGACGTGAAATATTGAAAAAGACTAGCATCTTAGAGTTTTATTCTTCAAATAGGAAATGAAAAATTAACCCTACTAATTTCAAACTAATCACCATAAATCTTAAAAAGTTTTCAACATAACTAGTAAGGAATATTCACATTTAAATTTGAATTTGAATTTGATCTATACCTGCAGCAACAATCCAGTAGACTTGTGGGCTAATTATCAAATCTTACTAGATCTCATTTAAGCAACTTACACATGTCGTGTCAGTTAACATTTTATTGTAGCTAATTTGTATTTACACTATTTGAGTCAAATTCAAGTTTTGAATTGAATGAAAAGAAGATGACACAAAAACTTCAATTCAGCTAAACCTTTTTAAGATGCAATTAATTCAATCAAAATTGACACTAAAGCTACTCAAAATCAAATTTGCTAAAATGACATACAACAGTTTTAAAATATTATACTATTACATAATGTGACAATTTTTCCCAGAACAAAAATATTCTTTCTTCATTTATTAGATTTCACAATTCTTGTCCAGCACCTGCCATAAACAAA